GGTTAGGGCTGTTTTTTTTAGAAAAAATGGGCAGAAACTTTTTTTTTGCAGTTTTGTACCCAGCTCACCCAGCTCACCCAGCTCACACCCAGCCCACCCAGCTCAGCCTTGCCTTCGGCTTCAAGCCAATGATAATGACACCATTATCTTCGGCTTGAAGCCGAAGGTTTTAATTGACAAAACTCGAAATGTTCGAGCTCCCACAAATCAACCAAACCCTTGAACTCAGGCCGCATCATCAAGATGGCTTCTTTTTTTTTTCGGTGAGGCCGATCCAATTTCAAAGGGTCGCGGGTACATAGGCCCCCGGATGCTCCCCGGCTGCGCAAAAGAGCACCTTGAAGTCTGCTGCGCGCCCGCCGTAGTGGTGAGGTTGGTGTTGAAAATATTTTGAAAGTTTCCTACAAGCCAACCAAAAAAAATATAAATCAACGAATACACACACGATGGGAGACGAGGATACCGAATCGATTGCAAGCTCTTCATCATGCACATCAATCGTTACTTCTGAAGATGGGTCGTCCGAGGATGGGTCGTCTGATTCAAGGTAAGAGTACCCTCCTCACTTTCCTAATCTATATCAAATCTGCTGCAAATCTTGAAACTGCATCTGAATCCGAAAAGCTGACCTCAGGGCCTATTCAGCACGGTCACAACCACCAAGAAACGCGGCGTCCAGGTCCCTCCAGGTTATCAGCCCATCCCTCCTTCTTCTAATGCAACTGCCTCTTCAATCTCCGCTCTCAATACTCAGGAAATTGATTCAGGTGACTTATGGGTAGTCAGGTTACCGAAAGGGGTAAGCAGACAAGAACCTAAATGTTGAAAAAAATTGGATAGAAAACTCAAGCAGAACCCTCGTGCGTTTTTTAGGTCAAACCAAAACATTTGGCCGGTCTACAGCTCGATCTAAGCTCCGTAAACACCTCCAACCTTTCGCATGGTGGCTCAAAGCGTGTAGGCGAGATTAAAGTGGGCGATGTCGAGTACGATATCTTCGCTGAATGTATTCCCGTCATCAAAAACAAGCAAAAGTCAACCCGTCTAAATTCGCTCGAGCTATCACCCGAAACGAACGAAATCTCTCAGCTCAACCCCTTGCTACCAAATCAAAGAAAAAACCCTCAAGAAACTCAAGTTTTATTAGGTAAGACGGCATTGAAAACATAGGCGCAATGTTACCAATCACCAAGTGATTCTAGCGTGGTTTTATGATGAAATAGAGATAAGCTTACTAGTTACGAATTGGTTTACAAATACAGCTCCACAGCGGATATCCATGTCAATTTTTTTTCGACGAAGGATTCCGAACGATGCTGGATCAACAAAGAAGAGCCTCTCATCGATCCTAACGGAAAAAACCTGTGTCGTCACATCTAATGTCAAACGACCTCAACCCCCAGGATTAGAACTTCGGAACATTCCGTTTGGTGCGAATTTAAAGACGACCGAGCATGACACCGGATCCGATGAAGTTCCTACTGCTACTGCTGCTGCTACTCCTAATCGTCCAACTTCCTCGAAGAAAAAATCAACTACTTCAGATATTAAACCGTCTCACTCTTCAAAACGCCCCAAGCTCTCCACCTGATTTCAATTCATCTCTTACCATTCAGTCACATTCTCTCAATTATAAATACTTTCCCAAATCTTCAAACTTTGAACCAGCATGTGAAGGAAATTTCATACAAATCAATGAAGAAAAAGGCTCGCAATGAGCAGGAAAAGTGTCGAAAGCAAAGTTCACAGTTGCAAGGACTAATTTTCAACCAAGAGATACAATAACCAGGAGGAGGTCTGATATTATAGGTGTTGAGGAGGAAGCCTAAAAGAAAATGCTGTGAGAATTTTTTCAATCAATAATCACAAAATTTGGATTACACCTGGGTAAAGATCCCAAGTGGAGTCACCAAGATGCTTGTGGCACAAAAGATTACCTACATGATTTCCAAACCATACATACATCCTGTTTCATATCTCCACATCCCTATTGATTCATTTGTGCATTTGTAATCTCTCCTTCTTATGGGTACATTTTCAGTTTTGCTTCTTCAGGCCAAATTTCCCAAAGGGCCCTGGTAAAAAAATGTGGTTTTCCTGCTTTGAGAAACAGTTTATGCAGCAATGATGTCAAAACCAGTTTATACATAAAACTGGATGCCACCTGACTATTTTGGCCATACTTGGACCAACGCTGCCACAGATACGATACACTGTGTGTATCATGGAGAATTCTGCAAAGCTGCATGGCCAAAAACCAAATTTGTTGAATCTCCTTGCAAATAAAAGCAGATTGGTCAGATAGTTTTTTTTTATTGGGGCTCAGATACATAGTGATACATGGCAGATACGGGCAGATACCATATCTGTGGCAGCGTTGCTTGGACTGCTGAATGGGTTAATTCATGGGTTCAAGTCCCATTTTTGAAAAATTGATAATTTATTAACAAATATCTTGATTTGCATTTTTGAATTTATATTGTAGTGTATGAAACAGGTGGAGTTTCTATGAAAAATCAAAATCAAATTCAAATTCTGCATCCTCGAAAGTGTTGGAAAGATTATTAAAATGTCAAAGATACTTGAAAATTAAGCTGTAAAAATAGTTAAAAACCCATGTTTGCTGCACAGTTGCAGGGCCCCCAAAAAAACCTATTTTTTTTATCAAGGCCCTTTCCCAAAATATCCAAAAACTGAAAAAAAAAATGCTTATTAGTACTGAAAGAAAAGCTTGCTCAAGTGTAACTAGTTGATTTGCAGGGCTTGTCACATAAATTCTGGTGTAACTGCACATCACTACAAGAAAAAACTAAAGGAACTGGTGCCAGTTGAGATGCAAGAGTCTAGAGCTCCAGAAAATCTCTACCCTGATTCTGAACTTGAGCTGAATTTGATTGTTTATTCAATGCTCACTTGATGCACTTTGGATCAAAGCTTGTAAGTAGAAATAAACGTTGAGCATGGGTTAGAGTCAGACCAACAACACAAGCTTGCTTTCTCAGAGTTTACAGACCCTGACAATGCCCTGCATGGCATGACATTTTTTTTCTGATAGCCAAACAATCAGCCCCCCAACCCATTTCTCTGGGTTGCTTAGTCTGATATCGTCCTTTCCTCAATTTTTCTTTTCTTTCCCCCCCCCCTTCAAACTACTGTTTGAGCATGCTCACCAACTCCAGGAGCAACATTCAATCCATCCAAACACCAAAAAATAAGATCCCAAACTAAAACATGTGAAATATTTGAAATCCTGTATCCAAGCAAGAAAAGTTGACACTTGGTGATTTGGGGTGTCCACAGGACCCATCCCAATGCCCTGAGCCCTGGGGTCACACCTCAGGGCAAGATCCTGGGGCCTGCATTTGGGTCACAGCCTTCACATCAAGTAACAGTGACCACTGCTCATCTGTAGCTCCAGATCTGTTGGAATCCCATTAAAATGGTCCCTTTCTGTGCTAACAGGGCTGGGGAAGAGCTGGGCTGGATATGTAATGGGTAGCTTGCTGAACTTGGTCTGATCTCACTTTTCATCTACTGATCACAGTTTTTTTTTCTGGTGTAGTGGTATCAGTTTTTACTTGCTGCACAGTGTTGAGGCTTCATTTGGTTCATAAAAAAACTACAATTAATGCAATATCTAACTCTGATGTCTATTAAAATAGGGGCTTGGAAAAACGACTCCTAAAAATTAGTCGACGACTCCCGTTTTGGTCGGGAGGTCGTCGGACGGGAGTCGTTCTTCCAATTCCCCCAAAAAAAAGGGGAGTCGTCGTCCTAATTTCAATGGCAATTTTTTAATTTTTTTTTATTAAAAAAATGGGAGTCGCCCGTCTAAAGGGCGGGAGTCGTCCTACCAATTTAGCCAAATATTTTTTATTTTTTTTCATTAAAAAAGTTGGGAGTCGTCCGCCTAAAGGGCGGGAGTCGGCCTCCCAAATTTGATCTTTAATTTTTTTGATATTTTTTTTTCCTTGGGAGTCGTCAGGCCAATTACCCGAGACGGAAAGGGAGTCGATGGCCCAATCGTCCACTGGACTTTTTTTTTCGTCTCGCAGGAGTCGTTGGAAAATACCTAGGAGTCGGCTGGGGAGAAGAAACCTTGTTTCTTCTCCCACGCAGGAGTCGCCGCTCCACACCCATTGACTGTAGGGAGGAAGATTCAAAATCCAATGACCCACTACTAGTTTTTTTTCTGCCTGTGTCTTTTTTTAGTTTTTATTTTTTTTCCTCTGTCCTTTTTTACCCTGTGTTTTTTTCTTATATTTCTCATCAATTGAATTCTTTTATCCCTGTTTTTTTCTTACATTTCTCATTGTTTTTTTGTTTACATTTCTCAACATCTCATCAATTTATTTCAATTATTTCTTGAATTTGTTTTTCTCAATGAATCTAATTTTTAATCATTGATAAAGTGCCTTTGGGGCAGGGCCCCAGTGGCTGAACTTTTTTTTGAGTTTTTAGGGTCGCTAGAGGTCGACAACTCCTGTTTTGAGTTGGACGACTCCCGTTTTTTTAATGCAGAAAAAAGGTTAAAATATTGAATTGGGGCGCCGACTCCCGCCCTTTAGGCGGACGACTCCCAATTTTTTTAATGAAAAAAAATAAAAAATATTTGGCTAAATTGGTACGACGACTCCCACCCTTTAGGCGGGCGACTCCCATTTTTTTAATAAAAAAAAAAATTGCCATTGAAATTAGGACGACGACTCCCCTTTTTTTTGGGGGAATTGGAAGAACGACTCCCGTCCGACGACCTCCCGACCAAAACGGGAGTCGTCGACTAATTTTTAGGAGTCGTTTTTCCAAGCCCCTTAAAATATTATGATTCAAAAGGAACAAACATCAATAACTACAAAGTGCAAGAAAACAGTGATGTAATCT